AGCCCTACCTTCGCCTGGAGGGGACCTCAGGCTGCCTTGAGCAGGCAGCTGAGGATTTCTGTAGCACAGAAGCATCCCAGGCTGGCATAAAACCAACATACGCAGCGTAACACCACCTGCGCTCTTCCCCTTCAGCAGAAGGGGGTTTTGAGAATGAAGTTCAGCAGCACAGCACTTCAGTGACACTGGGCCAGCCCCCAAGGTCACAGAAATGGAAAATTAGCCGACTATCCCGCCTCACACCTGCAATCAGGGTAATATCTGAACACGCTCAACAGCATTTATGGCACATGTTTTTGTTTGTTCATGAAAGGAACAATCCTGGTAGCATTGATGCTTCTTCTCAGTATCTCAGCTGCTTGCTGAGAAGTGGGGAAAAAATCCTTACTTTGTTTTCTATGGATATTTTATTAACAAAATGCATATTAAGGAAATAGGCAACGTAAGCAAAGCCCTCCCCAAAAGCAAAACACTGGAAGTTGTGCTACAAAACACTTATCAACTTACCAAACAACACTATGTTTGATAAACATTCAGTTGCACTCTTACCTTTGAGCTAATTCATAAAGTATCGTAACTTCTGTACCTATTGATTCCCCTGAAAAGCAGAAAAATCTGATTAAAAACAGATATGGAGCATTTTCCTTGTTTTCCCCTCCATCTTAAACTATTTAAATATAGAATGGCCAATTAATGAGAACTTAGAGAAGTCAACAGATACTCACCACACTGTGTATTAATGTCAAAAGCTGTGCACGAGCAAAACTATTTATAGCCCAGCAACAAAGCAATAGCTTTCTCTGGAGTTCAAAAAAAAAAATTACTAGGTACCACAGGTGCCAGATTTTACAGCCTCAGTGCTTTAGTTAGCATACAGATGTAAAATACTGTGCTATATGGCAAAAGGATTAGGGGTACATGCCACTACTACTTCTTCAATAAAAATTATATAGAAACAATTCTGTCTCTCTTGGATTTTGTCCACCCAGAGTCAGGCTAACCAGTTATCCTCAATAAAGGGGCATGGAGAGGATTTTGCCTGCAATATTCTGAGTGGTATAGTGTGTGAGCACAAGCACAGTTCAGTGCAAGAGGCCTGCACTCAGACACTAATTTGAATAAGGAAATAAGAGTTTCATGGTGTCACCTTGGCTCCCCATATTTTAAAATTTTTGTGCAACTAAGCAAAAGTGACAGGCAAGAGTTGCACAGCTGAAATTTCAGGGGAATGAACTGAAGGTCAGGATGGAAATGCAGAGACAGACGGTTGTTTATGCTTTTTCTTTACAGTCAATTCTTAGTACGCTGGATGTTCTTTATAACCCTACAAACATCATTTTATTTTAATGTGCGATTCAATGCAACGCCATTGTGTTAGATATATTGAATTGTCTCAGTTGTCAGTGACTTTTCATAGTATATAGGATACCATCTGTTGGTTTGGGGATTTTTTTAAAGGCATTTAATGTTTATTCACTACACAGTCTTCTCATTTGTAATGCAAGGAATCTCTGTAGCCACTGAAATCATTGAATACACTCAATCTTTTATTACACTGCGATGACACATGAGCTGTAATACCTTTTTCTCATATACCACTCCTTTATATGAGCAATCGAAACTGCAACATGCTGCCACTATCTTTAATGAAAGGCAGGATACAGATCATTGTATGGCTGGGCCCTGAATGTTTCTGAACAAAGTGATCTTCTAGAGCCAATTTCAGGAAGACGTAGGGGTCAGGGTCCCTATTTCAGGCCACCTCAACTGTCTCGCTGAAAATGACAGTTTTGCAGCTGACATCTCTGGAAGTACTGCTAGTTGTTTGGGTCAGAAAGAGCAACACTTGTGAGGATAGGAAAAGGTCTTTCTTGCTGAATTTCACTCATGCTAGCATCCTTTTTCCACCACTTTGCCGCTAACTTTCTTCAAACGATGGGCTGAAGGCAATATGCATGCTATACTCTTCCTTCAGGTGACAAATGTCAATTTTGATGCTCATTTTACAAAACAGGGTTGCATTTTAACTCTCAGTTATGAAAGATGGCATGCTTTTCTTGACCAGCAAGATGCAGGTCTCTTAGGAAAGTAATTAGAAATGTCAGGAATAATACATCTCCTAATATGGTCCAACTCCTTAGGTGTTTAAGGCTTTGCCTTTTGAACTTTCCCATTTTTCAGACAATATGCCAGTCCTCACTGGTCCTTAAAAGGGCTTTGCTTACTGGTGCACATTGCAATGTCCTTTCCTGGGTATACACTCCATTCAGCACTCGGCTTTCTCTAACACCAGGACAACAGTTCTCTGGCTGACTTCTCCTAAAACCCCTGCGCTGGAGGCTCTTGTTCTACAGAAACCCTCAAATAGACACTGATTTGCAATACCACAGTCTCTTACATTCATGAGCTACTCAAAATTCTGAAAGGGATTATTCTCCTCTGCCTTCTAACCAAATAGATTTTCCCTTTCTCACCCCCAATTTTAGTTTTCTATGTGCAGCATTTGGGTGGGTTTCTCCTCAAAGCCTATGGCTCTTTTTCTTGGTGCATCCAGTGACAGATGATTTTACACCTGCATACAATTTAACTTGTGTTATTTCTACAGGAATATCAATAATGTGCAAATCAGCATGGTATTATCTTCCAACTGCCTAACGCAGGATTCCTTGCAGTTTCTTTAAAGGCACTGGCCCTAGATGGACTACTGTATGGTAATTTCTTCTTTCGCTCGAAAAGCACAGCCCAGATCTCTGCACTGCATTTACCCTTCTTGCAAGTGACTGCACTTTAAGGGAAAAACTTCAGGAACCTGGTATTTTATTTTATTTTATTTTTTTAGTTAATCATAGATTGTGTTAAAAACCAACTGTGACCCATGCCCATAAAAACCCTGCAACGGAGATACCAGGTGCTTAGGCTCAACAAAGTCAGCTGAGCTGTTTCCTGAAACAGAAAATCCTGAAGGCTACTTGTAACTAAACTTTACTAAACTATAACCGCTATATTTTGAACAGTTAAAACATGCATGTGCTAAGATAAACAACTCAAAATGGAAGCTGCCAATACAGAGGACAACTACAAAAGTAAAATCCACTCTTGTTGGAACACTAAAATTTTATCTTCCAAGACAGTCCTTCCTATAAATCATTTAAAAGCAACCAAGAGGAAGTGAGGCTTCCTTTTCACTAAAAAGGAAAAAACCCCAAACCAAATCACACACACACACACACACACACACACCCCCCTTCAAATTTCAATAATGTTAATATATCTCAGACAACAAGCACAAAATACTGCTACTTACCATACAGGAATTTCCTTTCTAGCTTCTCAAACAATAGCACACTTTGATTCAGTTGTTCACAGAAGCCTTCAGCAACACAATAATCTACATCACTGGCTTGAAGCAGTTCCTCAAAAGCTTTAATAAGGCTCGTCAGATGTTGATGGTAAGCGACACAAGCACTGCGGATCTCCTTAATTTGTTGGCATTGAAAGGAGAGTTCTCGAGCTTGTGAATGAACTAATGAATCATATCTGAGAAAATGAAATTATCTTTAATTTTCTGACCATAAATAGCATTTAAATATAAATAAAAAGTAAATTAATCTTATATTTCAAAGCTATAATTTTATGTGACTCAATTTTCTTTTAAAATGCTTTTACATCCCCAATGAGAAATGTACTGTCTCTAACTGTTGAGGTTTGTATTTTGGGGCTTAACTTGTGCATTATTATCCTTCAATTAACTGCTTCATTTATAAGATGGGCAGAAACTAAACTGATGGCTTGTTTGCCTGCCTGGCAATAACCCAGATGGCATGCAAAGGTGTCAAAGTAAGTAAGAGTGAATACATGAAAAGAATTTTTAAGAATACACATATTTTTCCTGACTGGTTGGTTTTTTGTCGGGTTTCGTTTTCATTCACTAAGGAAGAACAGATGGAGCTGTCCCTCCTTCCGAAACTTTCCTGCCAGGAGCACAATGTTGGACTTTCTCAGCTGATGGTTTCACCCAGTCTGAAAATTCTGCACATCTCTGTATGTTTATTACCAGAGACATGAGCATGACAACCACTGTGGTGTCCAAACACTAGTACTCCACAAGCCAGGATATAAATTTCAACTCGGATCAAATGAATTTGCTCTGCACTTGCAAATCCAGACGTCCCCTTTTTACTGCCACTGTCTGTATCACAGGCAGACTTTCTACAGAATCGTGCATTAGTGGAGAGAAAAAGGGAGTGGATCTGAAAAGATGCAGGGAATCAAACATAATATGGGGCATAAACAAAATCTATGACTGTGTGGGTTGTTATAGAATTGTTGTTGTCATTTGTATAGGAAGAGGTGCGTAACTCATGTTCGGGTCTGTCACTTGTGACTCATGTAGTTGTCCTAGACGGTGGCCATAAAAACTTTACAGCGATCCATACTGCCTCATTCCTTAATTTACACAGTTAGATCTTCCTTTGTAAAATGGATGAGGCATATTTTCAAGGTATGTAAATTTATATGTACAATGTAACCCAATTGTATTTTATGAGAGTAATACTAAGAGATATACAATAGTCCACGTTGGTAGTTGCTCAGCGTCTCCAAGTATTTCTACTCAAGCATTCTGAAGAAATTCAACAGGCAGAATACCTTTCTCTGTTATACTTCCTGCCATTCTACAGGCCCTCAGGACAATAAAGGTATTAGAGGGGGGGAAAAAAAAGAGGAGGGGGAGTTAAAAAAGGTTTGGTCTTACGGGACCCCATTTTATGTCTGTGATTTGTATATATGCTAGCCAAAATGCTGCCCCCAGTCTTATATTACAAAAAACAAGACTTTTAATCTCCAATCCCCCATAAATGATTTTCCAGCTTATGAGCTTATGCTGTAAAATTTCATTCATTAATTTCTATATATATATCTACTTTCACATTCTTCAAAGGAAGGCATTACGGCACTCAACTGCAAAATAAATTATAACTAGAGCATAAACTTCTTATTTTATACATAAAGTTTGCTCACACAAACAGAAGGGCTAGCATGAATCTGTCAGCCAATTGCCCACGGAAACGTTTCTATCTTAAATGGGATGTTCCATTTCTTACGCTTGGCACCTGAAAAAATCCCGAGTGATGCCAAACTGTAATACTCTGATTACAGAGGTCCGTGCCTCACAGGGCAACCTGAGGAGCTCCAACTTTGCTCAGGAGAGGATGTCTTGCAGCAAAGAGAGCTGTGGACCTGAGGTGTGGGGAGAGACACAGGTGTCTGGCATAGAACTGTTACAGAGGATGCTATGAGCTTATCAGGAGCAGTTCTGTTGAAAGAGAAATACTGTTTTCTCCTTCAAGGCGCCTTTTAACTAAACGTTTCAGTTGCTTTATGTTAATGTTAGTGAAATTTAGCCTTTACTATAACAATATGCTCCTATGTGAATAAAATTCTCTTCGTATTACCTTCCTGTGTTATTTGGTATTGCTGTTTACAAAAAGGAACCTGAACCAGTAATAGCTTTACTCACTTGGATGGTGATGTTTCTCTCAGTTTGTTCTGAAGACTACACACTTCATCAAGACGCACATTTGCAATTTGCTCTTTTTCAAGTTCTGCCTCATTTGCTGATAGCAGTTCCTTAAGGTTTTGTGCTGTCCATGTATCAGGTGCTTTTGAAGACTCTGAATTCCTGTTTTCGGAGTGGATCTCGTGATCCATCAGCTGAGGCAAACTAGAAAATGTTTTGATTTCTTGCATAGCTGTGTCTTGCACTTGTGTAACACATCCTTCCACAGGCAAGGCTGTGTCGCTCAAAACTATATTGGAGATACCACTCGATAGAAGCTGGTCAGAGGTGTATAAATGAAGCACGAACATTTTGTACTTTTCAAGCTCAGACTTCATATTCTTAATTCTTTGTTTCAATTCTTCTATATCATCTATGACTTCACAGTCATCGAGTGCATCTGTACTTGTTACACTCAATTTGAGAGAACGCAGGCGCTTGGAACCTGAATATGCGGTGGCTGAGTCAGTGTCCTCATGTTCCATGGAATAAAACTCTTCATTTATCTCTTTTAATGAAGGCTGGATATTCATGTTGCTAATGTTACGATGATTTTGCATTTCTGAAAAACAGGAGGCTTGTGTGTGAATATTAATATTTCTTTATCTGACATTTTGTTCTTAACAGCACTAGAATGAATTAATTTACTTTGATAATAACAGAATAAAAATGCAGAATAATTACAAACGACACAATATTAGTTTTGGATCTTTCTTTCTTTCTACGATTTGCCCATTAATTCAACTTGCACATCAAATATTTCAAACCCCTTATCACCTTTCAAATAAACAATACTCAAAACACACCTGCTTTCTTTTCCCAAGTGATTGAACGTTACTTTTGCTATACGCAATCCTGAATCAGACATCAATGAAGCCCAGTCCTTTCCAGCCACAAAGATAACCTTAAACTTAAGGCACCGAGATTGAAACGTAGACTCTATGACTTTAAAAGGTTCTTTCTAAAACTTCTGATTAAATATTCTTTTCCTTCTCACTTCAAAAATCTGTACAAACCCAATTGGAGCATAAAGTCAGTGGAATTTAAAAAATATTATTAACAAAATAGTAAAATTTGAAAAAGGGGCTTTAATAACTACTTTTTAAAATGCGTTCTAAACAAAATCCATAAAAATGTTTGGTGTTAAAGGTTTTACTGGCACTCATCTGGCATGCACAGCACATCCCTTAGTTGACTTTGCCATTCATAAGTAAAGCAATCACCCCAGATTCAGACCAATAAAAGCTATATATTGCTACACATATTCTATGTTTATAGTTCTGTGTATGTTGAGGGCTGTATGTGTAAGCATCTAAGAAAATGGTTATTTTCTGGTTACCAGTAAATTAAATTTTCCCCTTCTATTAGTTCTGCAAATATCACTACGAATTAGAACCTCCCTTTTGGGAGTCACTCATTGATCGTGTGGAGGTCTTAATACTTCCAGATTGGTTTCCATGGAGAATTTGAATGCCCAGGTTCAAGCTCTAAATCAGTACAAAATCTTGGGGAGGGGAGGGAGGGCAGCTGTATATGAAGGCCCAAGTCAAGCCCAAACACAGGAGAATAAAAACAGACATAACCTAAAAGCCGGAAAACATTGCAGCTGCAGTACTGGGATATCAATGTATTTGAAATTAAGGCTAGACGATGCTCTCTGCAGTGTACAGATTGCTGCACACCATTATGTATGTCATTCCAAAGGTGACAGAATCACGGGACAGAAATGCTTCCAAGAAAATGCCCGTGCATGAATTTAAGAAGACACATTGAATAAGGGAATGCAACACTTAAGTTCATTAGTTTCTCCTCCTTCTCTACCAGTCAGTTGCTGCAGTAACACAGATGTCAAAGAAGGTTGCGCACTGAGATGGAAAAAAAACAGATACTAGATGAACTCTTAAACTCTGCAATCCTGATTTCCTGCAAACGTTCCAGATAACAAAAACAGGAAATAAAAACAGGTATTAGGGAAGAAATATTTCTGATTAGAATACTGGTTATAGTTTTTAATGAAACACTGCCCTTTAATTAAAGGAGAGCTAATAAGCTCGCTGTGCATGTACCTGTCCGCACACACAAAGGGCACACGTAGAGCACGATCCTGCAAACCAACTGACCGGCTTCAGTGAAACTACTTATACAAATGTAATTAATGACGTGACAAAGGATTACAAAATCAGCCATATCCTCTGTACTCTACACACAATGTGTTAACCAGGTTATTCAAGCCCTCCTGAAAAAGACTAATGGATGATGCAGGAACACGTAATACATAGTATTAAGCCTATTTACATTTTCATTAAATGATTCCATTAGGTTTCAACCTAGTTGAATGCCTTCAAATAATTCAGATAAGCAAAATTCTATCATTCATTTGCTTCATTCCAATAGTTCATAACTAGATGCAGAAGCAATAAGTAACAAACATTTAATTCAGAGAAGGGTTCAGAAGTGAGGACATTAGCAATAGAGATCAGAGTTAGGCATACAACTCATTATTTTTACTGGAAACCAGACTCATAAATCCCTGTGGCCCTTCTGGAAGCATAACCCTTAAAAGACCAGCTTGGATTCTTAAAGCAATTGATCCATACTAGCTAAGAAAACAAGATTTAAAACCCACAAATAATGGCAAGGGAGACAATTGCCTGCAGTAATTTACAATTCTGTGCAATTCAGAAAAAAATAGATTTTTAAAATTTCTTTTTTTTTTATACTATACCATATAAATGCTTTACCTTGATAGTTTTGCTGGTTTTTGTCCATCACATATTCATTCTTGCCCCCTGCACCCAGATAAACACCTTGCAACTCCACCTGGACCTCACTATCATCCAGTTTGAGCAATGAGTCAACTGGAGATTAGTGGGGGAAGGTAAAACAGAAGTCAGTGAGTGATTGAAAAACACATTACATGGGGATAGTTTAAAAAAAAAAAAAAAAAACAAACAGAAAACAAAAAACCCATCCACAAATCCAAACCTGGTTCTCTGACAATTTGGAACAGAAACATCATCTATGGAAGAAAAACTACTGAAAATGTAATACAAACATTACTGGTCACATGAAACAGTGTTTGCACATCTTTTTAAAATACTTGAACTAATTATAAGGATAACTACCAAGAATGTGAATTTCCAAGGCTTCCTACCAACAAATGAAGATAAACATTTGCAAGTCCCCTTTGTAATGTAACCGTTAATCAATTTTAGTGCATTTTAAAATGTTTTATGTTAAGCTTAGAGAAAAGGCTAAAAAGTTTCTCTAATATAAGCATTGATCATAAACTAATTTTCTGCAATCTCCCATTGCATCAAGTCTCAAAATTGCTACGTGTGCAGTACAACTGTTACCCAAGGTAAAGAAATCAGCGTGGAAAGGAAACCACAGGATAGCAGTCCTAGCAGGTTCCGATTCATTTCAGGATCCAATTCAAAAGTACTTCCCTTCTCAGAATTCCCCATGGATTTTGCACCCACCAAAACTAATTGCTATAGTCCTATCAACCTGAGTATTTACAATAAAGTTGTGCCATATCTGTCCCTTACCACAATAACATTATGATTAACAACAAAACCTCAGCAACCTCTCTGCGTTTGACAGTGGCTCACTTGTTACTTGATTGAATCTTATTTCTTATATTTACACCTCCTCTCTCCCCAACTTGTCCTTTACATCTCCACTCAGTTTTTAATCTGCTAAATATATTTTTATTTTTATTTTTTTTACCACTCTAGATCTTTATATGATACCCATTGTTCTTCACCTTACAATTTCATAGAATCATAGAATGTTTAGGGTTGGAAGGGACCCCTAGAGGTCATCTAGTTCAACCCCCCTGCAGAGAGCAGGGACACTGCTAACTAGATCAGGTTGCTCAGAGCCCCATCCAACCTGGCCTTGAATGTTTCCAGGGATGGGGCCTCCACTACCTCTCTAGGCAACCTGTTCCAGTGTTTTACCACCCTCATTGGAAAGAATTTCTTCCTTATATCCAGTCTAAACCTAGCCTGTTTTAGTTTAAAACCATTACCCCTTGACCTGTCACAGCTGGCCCTACTAAAAATATTTTCCTCACCTTTCCTATGGGCCCCCTTTAGGTACTGAAAGGCCGTAATCAGGTCTCCCCACAGCCTTCTTTTCTCCAGGCTGAACTTGTCATACTTTGTCGATCCAGATACTTTGTAAACAACTAAGTTTAAATTAACCTAGCCACACTGGAAACAGACACGGGTGACTCGACTGATCCATGGAATATTGGAAAAACTTATTTATGCAGCATAAACAAATACAGTATTTTTATACTCTCCTGTCTCCATTGCAGACAGTTTTCACTAGACTTGGCATCATATAAGGGAAATTTTTCATATGCCTAAACGTTGACATATACGTGTGCATGTGTGGGCACCCTCTGAAACTGTCATTTATTATATACCTTACGCCATGTATACAAAGCACTTTCTATTCCACACAAAGCTGTTTTACATTCTAGCAGCAGAGATAAAAGAAAAAAAGAGGTGTTTTTCAAGATCTCTGTATATTTGCCGACCCAAGAAAATCATCAGATTAAGCAGCATTGTACATATGTAAAAATGATCTGGTTTTACTTTCTACTCCAAGAAAAGGAGCCACTGTTGCAAGCAGCATTACAAGTCATTATGGCTGTTCTTTATTTACCTCTCACTGATGTGCTCTCCTGTGCAGGCTCTTCTTGGGGGTTTTCACTTACAGACTCATTCAGTAATAACTCTCCATTTGTTTGGGGCTGAAATGGTTTGTTTCGTACTTCACATGCTTTCAGACCTTCATAAGGTATCCTGGTATGATGCTGTAGTTTTGAATGCGACTTCTGCCTACAGGAGTTCAAAGGCACATTTCCTAATGGCCTGGATGATTTTAAGAGAACGGGCAGACGGGACTTCTTGGGCAGATGAGCAGAATCAGTCTGAAAAAGGCACGGAATAAAATGGGGAGTTGGTAGGTCGCATGTAACAGTCAAGTAAAGGAATTATAAACAAATATTCCAGGAAAAATAAAAATTTTACAGTAAGATCAGTAAGCTGTCATACTAAATAGTTTTGAAAATAAGATTGCAATACCCTTGCACTGTGGAAAACAAACATTCAGAAAGACAAAAAAAAAATCTATCCCACTGGCTCACAGAATCATAGAATCATTTAGGTTGGAAAAGCCCTTTAAGATCACCAAGCCCAACCGTTACCCTAACCCTGCCATCCCACCACTAAGCCCTGTCCCTAAGCAATTTTCTGTAAGTGCTGCTTATGCATCCACAGCCACACACGGAACGGCTTCCAGTTCATGAAGCAAGACAGCAAATTCACCATTGACTAGCAAAGGCTTTTAATCAGTAGGCATATTAGTTAACCCTGAATTTGGGTGTGCCCTAGGAAAATAGTTTCTCACCCAAACTGACCTCTCTAACTGCTACTTCCCAGTCTCCTGATTTAGATCATAAATGTCTGACAGGCCAGCAACTGTTTCCCTTAATTTTTTTTTTAATTGAGGATCCTCCCAATTTTTCATAAATTCCTGAACGTATTTTCCTTTCTTCCTTTTGCCTCCGCCCTATTTGGTACCAGCCTCCCTTCACACCTTTGAGCAAATCAGCATAGCTTTGCATCAGCCACAAAGGAAATTTATTCTGCCATGGAGCAATTCTTTATGAACAATAACAGCTTCTTCACCTACACACTCCACAGATTGCTTCGGCAGGGTTCACGTTTCCTCCTGTAACAGACAGGCTGTCACTGGAGTTGGGGGGAGAAGTGAAATTTTTAAGTCGCTGCATTTTAGCCTCTTGCCTTTTGAAGACCGCATAGAATGTGTCTTTGTTTAAACCACAGGGCATAAAATAGCGCTAGCTCCAAAAAGATAAAAACATGCTATATGTTGATGAGAGTTACGGAATTGTGTGTAATAATAATAAAAATCAATAATGGCATGTTCAGATAGATCGAGTTAATTTTTTTGCTGTTCATTTGCTCCACCAGTGTCATAAGTTCCATAATTTCTTTCACCACCCAATGTATTCTGAAATACCTTTCCACATGCATTTCTCAGCAATTATAGTCCTTACACAATTTAAAATAATAAAAAGCAAGTTCCATTTTCCTAATGACATACTCAATTCCTTTTGTACATACATGAATACAATATCATTTGGAGGCTGAAAAATAAATCCAGGCGGGATGAAGTTCCTGCTAGTTTTACTAAACTGCGCTAATAACATCGAACAATTTCCAGCTGTCTCAGGGCTGTTGTACAGACATATACGTCACCCAGATTACCCAAAGTCCAGTTCAGCTGGCTACATGAAATTATTTATAAAAGCCATTCAGAAGCAAACGATACACCACATTAGTCCAAATGAGAAAGCTTTTCAAGCAACTGACTCAGGCACTGCATTGCGGTTGCAACTGATGAAACTAGAGAGGAATCTGGAAAATGATGAATCAAAACAGTATACTGAAACTCAGTGAAAACAGGAACTTGAGTAACAGGGAATCGCAGAAAGAACTCTAGGTATTCCCTGTGGAGGGCAGACAGGCCTTCACTTGCCTTCAGAGAGATTGTCCTTCATTCCTGAGAAGTAAGGCCAGCAACTCAAAGACATAATTAGTGTTCGTAAGCAAGCCATCGCAAGCACATCTTCATTAATAGGCCAACTGGGTCCTCAAACCCCTTCCCTCACTACTACCCATCTTTACTTTGCCCACATCTTTGCTTTCACCACATCTTTACTCTGCCCTCATCTCTTCATGCGTTTCTCAAGTCAGCTGCCCTGGATAGTGCCAGCACAGACGAGGAAGCACGTCCTCTCCTTTCTGTCTCAGACCAGCCAAGGTCCCCAAAGATAAGGGACCAGCTATCGCAGCAGCCGACCTGCCAAACATGACTGACCAAATGCCAAACACACTACGACCATGAGCAATAGCCCAAGAACATTTCCATTACTATCCTCTTTCCTCCCCAAACATAACTTTTTTTTTAAAGGCAGAAAATTTACTGCCAATAAGGAAATCTTAAAAGACTAAGAATGTACCTGAAGACACACTGATAGATTTTGATTACGTGTAAATTGTTTGGTGAACCAAGACATAGTTTTTGTGAGTTACTTAGGTTTTGATTTTTCAGGGGTATCATAACCTATTGCTAAGACTGGCATGAATTTTCTAGGATGTTTGCCAGGGACCAACCGTGCATGGCAAAATCTTTTCTTTAAAATCCCAAACTATACTGAAATGTTTATGTCTGTACAGAACAAAGTCTTATCACCATCTCTTGGTTTATAAGCCCCTTCCTTCAGTGAAATGAATCCAACAAGAACAAGCCAGAATAAAAATGAGTTGCTCCCAACTGCAAGCTTACAGAAATCTCTTGATCACTAAAGTCACGGAAACCATTCTTCGCAGAAGGTGCCACAACATTCTCTATTAGCAGTGCACAAAATCAAAAGCAATACTCTCCCTTGTCTGCTCTGCAAGAGCCAAGATCTTCAAAGAGTCTTCAACTTTGCTTCTGTAACTGCACTGAAACAGTAGACATGAACCCTTTAGGAGACACTGGTTTCCCACCTCTTTGTTTGGGATCACAGGCTGCCTGCATACAAAAGACTTAAACTCACCTGGCACAAGCACATTAGGTCTGTACTCACAAAACACACTGTATGCACTTAGGTTCCAAACAAACATGAAGAACCGTCCCACAGAGTACTACTGGTCACACTTAGCATCGCGTCTTGCTTTTAGAGAAGTTGTTAATAAAAACCCAAAATTAAGACTTGAGATTCTTGCAGTCTACCAGCATGCTCTCAGACATTGTGCAAGCCTTCAGTTTTGTAGAACGCATTTGCCATTTAGACTTAACAAGCTATCAGTTCAAAATGCTTTGGTTCTGCATGTTATGAACATCTATGCAGAGATATAAGGTACTACAGAATAAGGCTATTATGCTATGAATCTCTTTTTCCAAAAGCTGTAATATTTACTAGTGAGGTCCCCGGTGAGGATTGAAATTCAATTAATTAATGTTCCAAAGCACACTGAAGTATGCGATGAAAAGCTCTGAACATTAAGAACAATTATCTAAAACGTATTTCGCTTACATCTCTTTTTCTAATTTTAAAAATTACACAAAAGCAAGATTTAATATTAGAAATGAAACATATTTTTCTCCTTTATACATCTATTCCCTAAGTAGCAAAAAGAGAATCTTAAATAAACTTACTTCATTTGTTCTCCTTGTAAAAAAAAGTCTTTCATGCTGTTCACCCTTCTTACACACATTTTCTTGCTGATGTTCTCTTTCGGCATTTAATCTTGAATATTTTGGGTTTTCTTCTGAGGCTCTTTTTTTGCCTTCATGTTTGAATCTCATGACATTATTCTCTAAAGTCATTGTTTGTGTAGCTGCATCTTTCAATTCCACTTTCAACAACTCAATATCCTTATTAATCTGTGGCATTGCATCTGGGTAAAGCTTCTCTTTCCCATCAAAAGTTGATTTCAATTCTGCTTGCTGCTTTAAGAATTTATTGACCTGCTTGAAATGTTTGAGTTCCGCTCTTAGTTGAATAATCATTTGCCTAAGATCTTTTTCATCCTTTTTCTCTATATCTTCACTTGAACATTCTTCCTCAGTTGTGTTCAGATGATCTAACAGTTCATTTACAGTTTTCATTTGTTCTTCTCTGCTATACTCAGGAAAGAGGAAAGAGAAGGCACAAATTTTGATTTTTATTTAAGCAAACAAGAACACCTTCTAAGAAACTCTTTTGCAGCATCTTGACGTACTTGAAATTGCCA